CTTTAAAGCCCTAAACGGCCTCGGTCCAGTATACCTGAAGGAGCGTCTCCACCCCCATCGTTCAGCCCGGACACTGAGATCCAGCGCCGAGGGCCTTCTGGCGGTTCCCTCATTGCGAGAAGTAAGGTTACAGGGAACCAGGCAGAGGGCCTTCTCGGTAGTGGCTCCTGCCCTGTGGAACGCCCTCCCAGCAGATGTCAAAGCGATAAACAACTATTTTACTTTTAAAAGTCATCTGAAGGCAGCCCTCTTTAGGGAAGTTTTTAATGTTTGATGCTGTACTGTTTTTAATATTCAGTTGGAAGCCGCCCAGAGTGGCTGGGGAAACCCAGCCAGATGGGCGGGGTATAAATAATAAATTATTATTATTATTATTATTATTATTATTATTATTATTTAAAGCATTTTAACTGCTTTAAAAGTGCTATGTATTAATTGGATGGCAAGTTATTTTAAAACTAGATAGATAGATAGATAGACAGACAGACAGACAGACACACACACACACACACACACACTCACTCACACACACTGTAGGTTAAAGACACCATAGAAGATGCATTCTGTCTTCTCCATCACACTATATGGAGCATATATTCACATCATCTAAAAACAAAGGAAGTATTCTTCCCCGCCCCCCGGGGAAACACACACCTTCAGAACTACCGTTTTTATTTATATGTGAGATTTAGTCAACTCAAATTCATTCACAGATTAATTTAGCACTCATAACAGTGGTAGACAGCTGTATACAGTGGTACTTCAGGTTACATAAGCTTCAGGTTACATACGCTTCGGGTTACAGACTCCGCTAACCCAGAAATAATACCTCGGGTTGAGAACTTTGCTTCAGGATGAGAACAGAAATTGTGCGGCAGCAGCGGGAGGCCCCGTTAGCTAAAGTGGTGCTTCAGGTTAAGAACAGTTTCAGGTTAAGAACGGACCTCCAGAACTAATTAAGTACGTAACGAGAGGTACCACTGTATAGTCCAGCCACAACATCTCAGTAAAAAGACAGAATTATCATTGTGTCCCTATAAGCAAGGATCTCAGATCAGCTAGCAATTCAATGCTAGCAATTAGGTGGATGTATGAAAGCATATCTCATCCCTGTGGTAAATTCCTGTCTTATGGAGCATATCCTCTCCTCTCTAACAGCCCATTTCAACAAATTCTCCTATCATGAGTTACATATGTGTTGCAATAAAGTTGTGGACATCATTCACATGTATGGATGAAGGAAAGGACTAATGAACAGGAGTGGCAACCTCTATAGGCCTGTGATAAATTTCAAAAGCATCAAAGGTACATGAATGCCTACCCGTGCCAGTAACTGAGACACCTGGAGAAGCTTTGAAACCCTGAAGTGTGACTCAGTGTTGTTTAAATCCGTGGCTCTCAAGTGAGGGATGGGGACATTCCAGAGATTTGTGGGAGACCTCACAGTTAAATTGCCAACCAGCTAATAGTAGGAAATAATAATACACCAAAAGTCGGAAGAAAAGAGGTGGTGTGTGCCTAATGGGGTATCAGTTGCTTAAATAATAGCAGTTGTTGTTATCTGTGCTTAATCTAAATCAGGGCTCAATCCTGGTGCCTATTTTGACCTCTAGGATTCAATGGATATGATGCAAGAAGAAGGTGGTCTGGGCTCTCAAAATGTGAATGATACCTTCCCGCTCACCACCTAGTAGTAACACTAGCCAGTTGCTCCCCTCTTCCCCATAATAACATAAGAAGTGTGCTATTTACTGAGCTGAATCCTAGAACAATAGGATCCAGAATGCAGCAGTCTGATTGGTCTGCAAGAGCCACCCAATCCAGCTCCAGGTGGAAGTGAATCAGCGACCTGATTGGCCTGCAGTGTGATGGCCTGGGACTCGGGCTCGGACTCGGAACCAGAGGAGACTCAGTCTGCATTGGCTCCTTTGCCTCAGGCATCATCTGAACCAAGTCTGGGGCCTGATCCTGAAGAGTCCCAGTCTGCACAGGTTCCCCTGCAACAAACACCAGCTGGGCCGAGTCAGGGGCCTGAGCCTGCCCTGGCTCCAGATGCAGGGATTACCTCATTGCCTTCAGCTGGGCCATCACTTACAGCTGCTCCACTACCGGTCGAGCTGCAGAGACTCAGGTCTGAGAGAAGGAGAGACCTGAGTACTTGAGTGCTCACCTTCCAGCAAAACAGGGAGGTGAGTCGCCGGGGGATCAGGACCGGCCGCTACCCCAACAAAGATAAAAGGCTGTCAGACCCCACCCCAGGTTACGGGAGCAACATTGCTGTATGCTAGATCCCGCCTGAGATCCTGTACCTGTCCTTGCCTGGTTTCCTGCCTCGTGTTCTGCCTTTGCCCTGTCGGACTGACTCCCAGCGGAACCTTCAGATTCTGGACTGGTCCTGGACTGCGTTTCACGGGTTACCCCCGGGCCCAGCACATGCAGGAGCAGCCAATCAGACTCCTGGATGAAGTGAATCCGCAACCTGATTGGCCTACAGGAGCAGCCTGGAATTAGCCAGTCACGCGGGGCCCATTGTGTAAATAATGTATATATAGCTAGACGTTTTAGGGAAAGATTCATTCATTGCTACTACAAGCTGAATAAAGAGCGTGAAATTCACACTCGACTCCAAGTATATTTCAAAGTGTCTGCTGGATCAGGCCAATGGTCCATTAAGTCTAGCATCCTGTTCTCACAGTAGCCTATCCCCACACCACCACCACTGAGACAGCTAGCGCAAGAACCTAAATTAGCTGGTTTTGTGGGATACATGAATATGTATCAGGTTAGCCTATGGTTCCCAAAGAAACAGGTAGGAAATATTAACAACTGGTTGTTGCAGTATCTACTACACCATATTAAAAATATATGTCAAAAAAGGGGTCTAAGATGTAGGAGCTTATTGACACTTAACATTTGGCCCTGCACTTTCTAGACACAGGTCTACACTTTAAAGCTCAGTGGCTAGGTCCTTTTTTTGCCCTGGAGCTTTGCCCACAAAAACCCGCTCTTTAAAGCTACAGCATTTGGGGCTTTTTAGGTTAGGGAAAAGGCATGCAAGATGTGACTTGATAAAAGTTTATAAAATTATGTGTGGTATGAAGAAAGTGGTTAGAGAAAAGTTTAGCTCACTCCCTTGTAACATAAAATGGGACATAAAATGAAGCTGAATGTTGGAAGATTCAGGACAGACAGAATAAAATACTTCTTCATGCAGTGTATTGTTAAACTATGGAACTCCCTCACACATGAGGCAGTGATGGCCACCAACACGGATGGCTTTAAAAGAGGATTAGACAAATTCATGGAGGATGGGACTAACAATGACTACTAGGCAGGATGGCTCTGCTTTGCTTCTGAATATCCCTGAAAGGGAGAATCGTGTTATGCTCAGGTCCTGTTTGCATCTTCCCATGGGTATCTGGTGGGGCACTGTGAGAACAATACACTGGCTTAGATGAGCCACTGCTCTTATGTTCTGGTCAACTAGATCAAGGCCCACTAGGTGGCAATATTGCAATGCACCATCATGTATCTTTCTATGTGGGCTGAGTGAGTCTGCAAGTTGCCAATCCAATCCAACAAGGGGGATCTGCTATGCTAAATACATTTCTGCACACATATTACTTGCTAGAGACCGAGAACACAAGGAATGGGTTGCTGTTCATTACTTTTTAAAGGGTGCAAATTCAGACGTGCATATGAATGGGATTCCCCATCTAATGTAGGAATGGGGAAGTGTGTGCATTGAAAGCAATGTGCTGCAGGGTATTGATTCTCACATGTTTATTTACACCTACAGTTCCCAATCCGGCAATTGCTGTGTGTGTTGAACTTTTTATCTGAAGAGGGGAAACTGAAATTCTTTACCTACTTGGGAAGGAGTCCTGTGGATGGAACTTATTTCAGAGTAAAACATGGGAAGAATCAGGCTATAATCATAAGCTTAGTAGGAAATAATCACCATTGGGCTCATTAGGAAATGTGTAGGTAGCATAATTACTACTTAGAAAAACCAGTTATTAAAACATGGCCAGCGCTGGGAGGAAATAGATATTGCTTGAAGCAGGGAACTCACATGTGAGCTATCTGTTAAATAGCTTACAACGATTCATGTTGCTGAAACATGGGGTTCAGCAATGCTGCTCTGGTGGGAAAATGCCCTAGGTAGTAATATCATTGTGAATTGATAAATTGTAATGTCTCACTAGCATGGTGGCATTACACCTGAGCCTGTTTATTTATGAGGCAGTACCACGGGGCTTTGGCAATGGGTCCCTGGCCTTCTGCCACTTCCCCTCCCACTCTTGGTTAGAAAACTGCATTATGTTCTCTTGCTTCAGAAACACGTGTGAACTGCACAGAAGTAAGGCAGGGTAGAGTGTACAGGGACTGCACACTATTTCAAATCCCCAGAGAGGTTTTGTGCATGAATAAGGAACAGCTTGGCTCAGGGAAAGGAGTCAATATAACAGGACAGGTGTGTTTGTGTGCGTGTGTACGTTCATGCTTGGGTCCTGTGTATGGGTAATCTGAATGCATACTGGTTGGTAAGAATCTCCTGCTGTGTACCTGACTTCTTTTTGGGAAACACTGTGGTCTTGTCTCTCGAGAGCATCTATTTACCTATGGAGGTGGTGTGGATGGATGGCTCTGTCTTTGGTGGGGTGGACTGGATGGCCTTGAGCAGTCCCCTGTGTCATTTATCTGTGGATCCAAGAGCAATGATGCCATAACAAGAGGCTTCCTGAGCAACATTTGCCATTGCTCCCTTCCAAAACATTAACAGTGAGCTGAGGCTGCCAGCATCATTTAAAGGAGCTACCGTTATTTAGCCTAAGATTTATTCCAGGTATACACATTCCAGCTAAGAGTGCTCCTCTTTAATGCCCTCTGTAAATAGCAGAACAGTAGCTGAGCTGACTGGAGCACGAATATCTCAAGTTTGACCATTTATTATCCAATCTGCCACAAACATCATTATAACAGCAGCCAGTGATTCAAGAAAGAAAAAAACCCAGGGCCCCAGAGTGCAGATAGTTCAAGGAGAATGGTCCAAGACAAGCTTAAAGGGAAAGAAAGAAATTGTAACAGAGATAAGGGCAAGCATTTAAACTACCCCTTTCATCTCAGTAAGAATCTTAAAAGAAAGGCATTGTAATAGATACAACTCAGGTATAATAGCAAAGAAGCTTAGGCAGCAGCTGCAAAGCCAATCCTGTTGTTGCCCATGTCATAGACGGAATAGTACTTCCTGAGGAAGACATCTCCCAGGATCCAGAGAGGCTGTCCATTTTGGGAAGGCAGATAGGTGGGCTCAATCCCAACTGTGCAGTAGCCATTGTTCTGTAAAGCAATAAATAGAAAGGGGGAAAGGGAAAGTGAGTAGGATCCATAAAGATGCTAGCCCAGTTATTATAAAGACAGATGGCACACAAGAGAAAACCCTATCTTTCTTCACCTGTCCCGAACCTTACATTCTAATTCTCTCTATTGGTTCTTATGCTAAAAGAAAACAAATGAGTTAATGATGGCTAGGATCTCTAAAACTTACATTAAGGATGTAGGCACTGGGGGGCAGAGGGAAGGAAACCCCATTGATGTTGAAGGAGATGGTGGGCAAATTCTGAACATTGCTGCAAGCAACCGCATACTGTGAAGGAAGAATGCAATGACTGGTTAATCTCCTATAGGAGTGGTTCTTGGTGACTTTGAGGCCACCCACACAAACTGCGCATAGGCCAGCTACATCCCACATCACCCTGCTTCCTGTGTTACCCTCCCAGCTCTTCAAAATATGTAATTTCACCTACCTCTCCATACTGATTTTGCTGGGCACCCACAGCCTGTGCAAAACTCGCCATGTACTGCTGAGGAACGGTGAGGAGGGATGTCCCAGTGTCCACAATAGCTTGGCAACCTTGGCTGCACCATCCAGTAGCTCTTCCCCCAATAGAAAACCTAAGAACAGGGAACACATTGAAAAACCCGCCATACCTCTCATGTGCAGTCTTGCCTATATCCTCTGCAAAAAAATGTATGAAGTCCTTGCTGGGCACTAAATTTATTTAAAAAGATTTATTACTGTGAAGCTCATGCCTCCTTTTCACTGCCTTCTGTTCTGATGTGGGAGGTGCCATGTGCTTCTCTAAGCACCAAAAAGAGTGGATTGATTCATTGCTGATACTGATACAAACCTCATGCTGACTCTTAACAAGCCAGTCTTACCTGCAGTCTTCCTAGTTTGTCATTTGTTTATCATAGCTTTCCTATAGATTAGTACTCAGCCAGTGCATAACTATACCATAACATGATATGGTTTGTTCTGAAATCTAATATGATGGAAGTTGCATAACAATGTTTTACTAGGGGCTGTACCCCTGCTCACTTCACTTACCAACCTCACCTACATTCACCCAACCTCCCCCAACCACCCTTGCTAAAGCCATCCACTGCTTCCCTTTCCATTTCATGGTGCCAACCAGCCACCTTTTCCCTTCCTGTGCTGCTCATTCTGCCACTCTTCATGAGGATCAGCCATAGCAGCAGCAGATTCCAAGGCCAACCATGAAGCAGGATGGTGGGCAGTAACAGTGCCAGCTGGTCTAGGGATCTGGATGCTGGCAGGCAGAGGAGACAGAGCAGCTGAGGGGCTGCCCTGGCCTGTTTGGGCTGTCCCTCCGTGGCTTGCCTGGGCTGCCCATCCACTGCCTCTCATGATTCTGCAGTTCACAGCACCACCTGCAGCTGAGGGAATTGCAGCGTGATGATAACACTTAGGTTTTTATAATATGGTAAGAGATTTTAAATCCTTGCGAGCTGCCCTCTTGATATAGAAGGGGGGGATATAAATTATAAATATAAATTCCCACCCAGTGCTATATGCCGTTCACCTCCTTGGTCCTATTAATCCTCCAACCAACATCTCCATGAGATAAAGAAGCCATGGAGCTTGTACTCAGGCTCAGTTCCTAGCCTAAGTTTAAACAATAAACTTGTGGCATGCAAAACATCTAGCCTTGCAGTCCAATTTTACATATTCAAGAAATAATCTTCCCTAGGGACATCAGTGTACTTTAGATTGTAGCTATGTGTAGCCAGTTCATGCAGAACCCAGAGAGGAAATGCTGAATACACAGATTACATAATAATACATAGCTGTAGACTCATGAGCAAAGCCACATCCTACTTCAATTTTAATCCACTGCAGTTTGAATATTCTTATCCCAGAAATCATGTGAACATAAAGTGACAATGCAATCATTTACTTTGGTGAAATCTCTATGATGCTTTGAGAAAAAGTTTCAGTTTATATCTGCATTCCTTTCAGTTTATATCTGCATGGGACTGAAACTGCCTTGGTCGCACTGGTTGATGATCTCCGGCGAGCTAGGGACAAAGGTGAGAGCTGTTTCCTAGTTCTGCTGGATCTCTCAGCGGCCTTTGATACAATCGACCATAACATCCTTCTGGACCGTCTAGAGGGGTTGGGAGCTGGGGGCACTGTTATACAGTGGTTCCGCTCCTTCCTCCTGGGCCGTGTTCAGAAAGTGGTGGTGGGGGATGAGTGTTCAGACCCTTGGGCCCTCACTTGTGGGGTACCTCAGGGTTCCGTCCTCTCCCCCATGCTTTTTAACATCTATATGAAGCCGCTGGGAGAGATCATCAGGGGGTTTGGACTGGGTGTCCATCAATATGCAGATGATACCCAGCTCTACCTCTCTTTCAAATCAGAGCCAGTGAAGGCGGTGAAGGTCCTGTGTGAGTGCCTGGAGGCGGTTGGAGGATGGATGGCGGCTAATGGGTTGAAGTTGAATCCTGACAAGACAGAAGTACTGTTTTTGGGGGACAGGGGGCGGGCTGGTGTGGAGGACTCCCTGGTCCTGAATGGGGTAACTGTGCCCCTGAAGGACCAGGTGCGTAGCCTGGGAGTCATTTTGGACTCACAGCTGTCCATGGAGGCGCAGGTCAATTCTGTATCCAGGGCAGCTGTCTACCAACTCCACCTGGTACGCAGGCTGAGACCCTACCTGCCCGCGGACTGTCTCGCCAGAGTGGTGCATGCTCTAGTTATCTCCCGCTTGGACTACTGCAATGCGCTCTACGTGGGGCTACCTTTGAAGGTGACTCGGAAACTACAGCTAATCCAGAATGCGGCAGCTAGACTGGTGACTGGGGGCGGCCGCCGAGACCACATAACACCGGTCTTGAAAGACCTACATTGGCTCCCAGTACGTTTCCGAGCACAATTCAAAGTGCTGGTGTTGACCTTTAAAGCCCTAAATGGCCTCGGCCCAGTATACCTGAAGGAGCGTCTCCACCCCCATCGTTCTGCCCGGATGCTGAGGTCCAGCGTCTATATCTGCCGATTCCTTCTAGAAGAGTCTGGCTCAAATCCAAAAAGTGTCTCCATGAGTTCCAAAAGCACAGCACTATACAGATATTTATGGGAATTCCCCAATGCTCTTGAATTATTATTTTTTCACAATTTCAACTCACTCTTCAATTCCAATCTGCCAATAAAGTTCTTGGGGTGACTGGAGCCCAATAGATCTCTCCGGAGGTACAGTCGAGTGTCTACACCTCCAAAGACAACCTCACCACCATACTGAGAGCTTGGTTGGCTACAAACAAAAAGAAAGGATTAGGCATTCATAATTTGTTCTGGAATGTTTAAAGCAAAGAACATTGTGTAAAGGGGAGGCCCTCATTTGGGTTGTATAAATGCAAAATTCCCTTAAAGGAAAATTAAGGATCTGAGATAAATACGCAGTGAGAGTACAGTACTGTACATATGAATTTCTTGTGCATTGTTGGGGGTTTTTAATGGCTGACTGTATACAACATTTCATGCAAAATTATACCCCAAAATATGTATATGTGTGAGAGTCAAGTCTATGCAATATGTTGTTTTTGCGCTATAATTTTATAAGTATTAATATATATGTATTTTTCTACAGCCATGTACATTGTTGTATGTATGGGTTTTTTTCGCTGGTTACTTTAGGAAACCTGGAGTGAATATAATCTATGCATAATATTAACATGTATAGTAACACATACAATAATGTGTATAAACATGCATATAACATTTGAGAAGTGTTTGTATTTATAGCAGAAGCACACAGGGAAATAATTTACTTCTCATCAAAATCATGGAGTGAGAAGGAAGTTAGAAAAATTATGTGTGGAGAAGCTTAATACTAAGATTTTCAGAAAATTCCATCCCTTCATGACTATCTGAAATCTCATCTATTTCTGTGGCGGTAAAGCATGATTAGCTTATTCTAGATCCAACCCATTTATATTTATGCTGTGATGTATGAAAAGCAAAGGAGTGTGGGACATTAAAGCTAAAGGGAAAATGGCTTCTTTTTCTTACGAGCTCAGATAGAAGCTGAAGATTGGCTGTGAAAGCAAGTTTTGCTGCAACATCCCCTCTAAGGCCGTTGTAGCACCCCCAACTGCAAGAGAAGGATAAGCCATCCCCAGGATGCCATCAAACTGGGCATAAACGAAGTTGGAGCCAGGTTCATTTTCACTCAGGCCGAATTCTTGCTTAGTGACAACAATGTTCTGGAGCTAAAGGAGACAAAGTGAAAGTGTCACCGTAAAATTCATAGATAGGATAGGAATGAAAATAATTATAAATTGTCAAAAGAGGGCATCCACCATCTTAGTGCCCTGCTTTTGAGCTTCTAGAACAGAGGTAGCCAACATGGTGCCCTTCAGATATTGTTGGACCACAATTCCCATCATCCCTGAATCATCCCTTAGCTTATGATTGTCAGGAGTACGTGCAGGAGCCAGGCCCTGTGACCAGTAGGGCTTCGCAGGACTGGGGCCTTCCTAAGTTTGTTCTGGAGAGGCAAGGTGCGGCCACACAGGTGAGGCCACGTGGTAACTCGCTGCACCTGGTGGCAAGAGCCGGGAAGGGATATAAGGTCAGCATTTCCCTTCGGCTCTTTACCACAGCGACACATTTCCTGCCTTGGGCTTCTTGCTTTCTGATCCTCGGACCCTTGACTTTGTGACTCCCTGCTTCCTGACCCTCAGACCCCTGGCTTCTGGACTCTCGTTCCTGCTCCCACCCCGCCATCTTGCCCCCGGTCCTGACATCCTCAGCCAGGATTTCAATCACCCCTAAACCGGACCGTGACAATGATGGCTAAGAGGGATGGTTCCCCACCCTGCATTAGCAGATTCACTCGACGGTGATTCATTGGCAGCATTAGACTAGTTCACACCCCCCCCCAAAAAAAGACCAAGTGACACTTACTCTCATGGTGTCAAAGCCAAAAAATCCATCAAGGTTACCGCTACCATACTGCAGGGAGAAGGTCTGTCCATTGGTGGAGTAGGTGGAGGACTGGCTGGGATTAAATCTTGAATGACCGGCTGTGGGGAGAAATATAATAAAAGGCTGAAAGCTTCCATAGGATATACCCTAAATGTTGCACAGGATCAGCGGAAGTAGTACAGTTAGAAAAGCCTTTGCTTGGCATCATGGATAACAGAAATTCAGTTTGCAGCAAGGCTCTGTTGAAGCTCTGTCTGTATTCCATCACACCACAGCTGGCTTAGCTGTAGCTATGAATAAAGCTGGATGCGGGTGGTACTGTGGTCTAAAGCACAGAGCCTAGGGCTTGCCCATCAGAAGGTTGGCGGTTCAAATCCCCACAATGGGGGTGAGCTCCATTTACTCAGTCCCTGCTCCTGCCAACCTAGCAGTTCGAAAGCACATCAAAGTGCAAGTAGATAAATAGGTACTGCTCCGGTGGGAAGGTAAATGGCATTTCCATGCGCTGCTCTGGTTTGCCAGAAGAAGCTTAGTCATGCTGGCCACATGACCTGGAAGCTGTTTGCGGACAAACGCCAGCTCCTCGGCCTATAGAGTGAGATAAACACCGCAACCCTAGAGTCGTCCGCAACTGGACCTAATGGACAGGGGTACCTTTACCTTTACCTTTTATGAATAAAGCTAGCTTTTGAACAGTTGGGGATTGGTGACTTACTGCACGCCTGGCTGTTGCAGTAGACAGAAGGCACCCACAAGTTTGAAGAGCCAGTGTCAAACAGCACCAGGAAATTCTGAGGTGGTGTTCCAATGCTGATTTCTCCATAGTAAGAAGCCTGGGGATAAAATATTTCACAATGTGAATTCCATAAGAATTCTGGCATGAACTTAGCTCTGTGATTTGCATGGAATGAGTGATTCTGTGAATTTTAAAAGCTCCCAACCTGACCGATTTCCCAAGGCTTGGGATTTCTCAAAAGACACACACACATTCATATTTACATATTGGGATGTTGTGATCACTCAAATAGGGGGGTTTGAATGCCCTCAGACAGGATTGAGGCAAGAAGGACACTGCTCATAGCCTACTACATGTAGGGTGAATGGAGTCTCAGATAGCTTCACCACCATCTCAACCATTTCCCCCTTCTCTAAAGGATTGAGCTTTTGACCATGGATGGAAGAAGATAATCAGCAACGGCAGCAACCAGTGGTTTCTCCATCATGCAGTAGGGATTCTTCCCAGCAGAAATTGTGCAAATAGCATCTTTTCTATGCTTAGGTAGTTCTCCAGCCTTATATCATTGTGGAATCTCATGCTGCTGGGTCTCCACAGGGCCCACTGTCAACTCTTCTCCTTCTGCCTTCTTCCCCTGGTCCAAAGGTGAGTTACACACACTGAGGTAGGGGGAGGCAATGGTGCACATTTCAAGTGCTTATAAGTCTTTTGTGAGCAGTCAGGCCCAGCACTCACAAAAAGGCTTGAACTGCTATGAGGGCTGAGCCTAGAAATACTCATGCATCCTTAAACAGAATGCTACATTCCATGTGGTTTCTCAGCCTAATAGCATTCTGCTGTAGTGATGAAAAATATAGGCTTGTTAAAGAGAACATCAAAGATACAAAGACAAGTTAACTCAGAAAGGATGGGAGACTCACATCCATGTACGCCATTGGTTCATAAGCAACATAGTACTCATTGAAGATGTACTTTTTGGCCGGGTCAAGTTTGTGGTTCTTCAGGTAATCTTCCAGCACACCCTTCTCCTTCATCACCTCTCGGATAGACTTGCCCTTCTTCAGAAGGACACTATATGGAATTAAAAAGCAGAGCATAGATATATAATTAATAGTGTGAGACTTGCCATTCAATGACCCCACACAACTTGGATGACAAAGAACCATCACCATATTTGTTCCTGTTGCTGCACTGAGACTGCCCCTTGCCCACTTGTTGTTTTTCTACGGCAATTGATGGTAGGATGCACATTCAACAAACTGAAGAAATTAGGTTTACTGAATACTGTATGTGAGTATTATTGCATGAAACACCATTTATACATGGTCCTTACCATGTGGAGAAAAATATTCTCACATCTTCACTCATCCCTGTACACTCAGCTAATTCTCTGTGCTATATAATTGTACCTTACTCCTGACTTACACCATGAAAGTTCAAAAATTCTAATGCTACCTGATTAGCAAGTGAACAATTTTTGCATCTTATTGGTCTCTGTGCTGTTCTGTTTAATATATAGTATTAAACTGAGTAAGAACACTCACTTGACTAGTCCATCTGACAGCTGGAAGCAAGCCAGAACCAGGAGCACCCACTTCATGATGCTTGGTTTCTCCCACGACAACACCTGATGAGCTTAGTAGACCTCAGAAGAAAGTGGCCTGAAGTCTCACTTTTCAGCCCTTGCTTTTATACCACGGATGAGCCCCTCCCAACCAAAAAAATGAAAACACCTTATTGGCTTGCATTGCCATTCCTTGTAGCCTAGTACCCAACCACTATCAACACAATCAGGTATGCTAAGAAATGTTTTTTTTATCCTTTCATTGACTTTCCATTAAAAGTAATAATTGTATATATAAAGCAATTAAGATTAGATAAGAAACAATACATGTGCTGATACAGCAAGAGAAAAATTGGGGTTATCAAGAATGAGAAAGGAACAATCACTGTTCTTCACCTCATTTCACTTCATCTCAATCCCATTGTTTCTTCTAAAAATCAAGGGATTCAATGTTTGTGCATGTGGGGGTATATATGTATACTTGCATATAACGATGATAGATTAGATAGATAGATGATAGATGATAGACAGATAGACAGATAGACAGACAGACAGATCCACTGCAATATTTAACAGTTCACCAAATGGGTTATGTCTGCCACAGATTTTTCATGATATTCCTGTTTCCTAGTAACAATTAAAATAATAAACATTTGAATGATTAATCAATGTAGGGATTTATCCAGCCTGACCTTTGAGATCAAGGATTCTAGAAAAAAAAATATTCACGATTCAGTTCCTCTTCTGGACTGGTAACTGATTAAAGGCCAGGAAATGTTGCATTCAAATAAATAAATAAACCTTCTCCACAAATGAAGGAAGTAAGAAGTAGGGTCCACCAAGGACTTACACTGAGGCTGATGCTATTTAATGTCTTCATAAATGATCTGGAGTCAAGGGTGAATTGTGGGGTAGCCAAGCTTGTGGATAAACCCAAGTATTCACAATGCTGACATTCTAAGCAAGCTATGGGGAGCTTCAGAAGGATATTCTAAAAACGACTCAATGCACAACAAATGAGATTCAGTGTAAAGTGGGACAACTCATCTATGTGAAAAAAATTTACATATATATATATTAAGATGAGCAAGAGGGGACATGATAGAATCATAGAATCATAGAATCATAGAGTTGGAAGAGACCACAAGGGCCATCGAGTCCAACCCCCTGCCAAGCATCAGAGCACTCCTGACATATGGTTGTCAAGCCTCTGCTTAAAGACCTTCAAAGAAGGAGACTCCACCACACTCCTTGGCAGCAAATTCCACTGTCGAACAGCTCTTACTGTCAGGAAGTTCTTCCTAATGTTTAGGTGGAATCTTCTTTCTTGTAGTTTGGATCCATTGCTCCGTGTCCGCTTCTCTGGAGCAGCAGAAAACAACCTTTCTCCCTCCTCTATATGACATCCTTTTATATATTTGAACATGGCTATCATATCACCCCTATCTTATACATAGAGGTGTATAAGATTTTGTGTGGTGTAGAGGAAGTAGACAGAGTGATGTTTGTTTCTTCCATTTTCCTAATACTAGAACCCTAGGCCCCCCAATGAAGCTCAATGTTGGAAGATTCAGGACGGACCAAAGAAAGTACTTCACAAAGTGCTCCCATAAGAATTAGTGATTCCACCAACCAGGATGGCTTTAAAAGAGAATTAGGCAAATTCATAAAATATAAGGCTATCAAATGACTGTGTTCTACCTTTAATGTCAGAGGCGTTATAATAATAATAAATAATAATAATAAACCTTTATTGTCACTACACCATCTGTGAGCAGTGAAATTAAATGAGCCCCCCCCCCAATATACTCAGTTATGCTGCTGTCTATCAGTTGCTGGCCATTGCAAGTGGGGACAGCCCTGTGCACACAGGCCCTGCTTACAGGCTGCTCACTGGCTGTACTCAATGGGCCTTTGGTCTGACCCAGCATGGCTCTCTCCATGTTCTTTTAATTCTGTTGTCCTTTCTTCCCACTGATGGAACCATACAGTGCAGGAATCACTGCTAAAGACCTTCATGGACATTAGATTAACAGGCACCATTTATACTGCTCTATCGTATCAGCATGGAAAACTATCCTTATCAATCCCAAAGCCAACACAGGGTAAAGTGACATAAAATTTGTCCATCAGAGTGAGCAATGAAAGCTATCGGTCATCAGCTGAATAAACAGCTGAAAGGGCTCGTTGTGGCTTTTCAAAGAAGTAAAGTGGACTCTTAAGGGCAAATGAAGAGAAAAACCCTCCAATTCAGTGGAGTTTTTACCAAGTAGTCAGTCCAAAGCATTGAGACTACACGTCTTTGGGCACAGGAATGAGGCAATGTTTCACTTGTGTATTTTCTGTTCACTTTCCTTCAAGGTCATCCACTGGCTCCACAGTTGGGGAGGGAGTGAAAAAAACAAAGATACTGAATGGGTATTCATTATTTCACTCCCTCCCCAACTGTGGAGCCAGTGGACTGTGCTAGTTTTAAATGTGGGAAGCCAAGGTTCGAACCCTTGTGTATAATGGCAATCACTTTGTGCTTTGGACAAGTCACCCATGCAGTTAATATTAATTTGCCTCAATTTCCCAGACTTTTGCATCTTAGTATCTTAGTCCATGTCCTCCAATGATAAACATGTGCCACTTGCATCTCCTCCAGGAAAGCCCATTTTTTAGCCATATAAAGGTAAAGGTACCCCTGCCCGTACGGGCCAGTCTTGCCAGACTCTAGGGTTGTGCGCTCATCTCACTCTATAGGCCAGGAGCCAGCGCTGTCCGCAGACACTTCTGGGTCATGTGGCCAGCGTGACAAGCTGCATCTGGCGAACCAGCGCAGCACACGGAACGCCGTTTACCTTCCCACTAGTAAGCGGTCCCTATTTATCTACTTGCACCCGAGGGTGCTTTCGAACTGCTAGGTTGGCAGGCGCTGGGACCGAGCAACGGGAGCGCACCCCGCCGCGGGGATTCGAACCTCCGACCTTTCGATCGGCAAGTCCTAGGCGCTGAGGCTTTAACCCACAGCGCCACCCGTGTCCTATTTTTAGCCATATAGCTGTACTTAATTGGTAAACACATTTTAAAAGAAAGAAAGAAAGGATCATTTGTTGTTGTTTAGTCATTTAGTTGTGTCCGATTCTTCGTGACTTCATGGACCAGAGTACGCCAGGCACTCCTGTCTTCCATGGCCTCCCACAGTTTGGTCAAACTCATGCTGGTAGCTTTGAGAACACTGTCCAACCATCTCGTCCTCTGTTGTCCCCTTCTCCTTGTGCCCTCAATCTTTCCCAACATCAGGGTCTTTTCCAGGGAGTCTTCTCTTCTCATGAGGTGGCCAAAGTATTGGAGCCTCAGCTTCAGGATCTGTCCTTCCAGTGAGCACTCAGGGCTGATTTCCTTAAGAATGGATACGTTTGATCTTCTTGCAGTTCATGGGACTCTCAAGAGTCTCCTCCAGCATGTAAAGGATCATTTACATTTACACAAAGTGATCTGGGCAGGAAAGGCCCATTCTGTTTCGCCACTTGAGGTGGAACAGAAATTGTTTCCACCTCACCACTTCTACCGCTGCTGCACCTTGGCTCTCAACAAACTTGGCAGGAGCTGGAGCTCTTTTCCAAGCATTCCCAGTCAGCTTCTCCCTTGTGGGCAATGCCACACATCAAAATGCTTCCCTCTTGACAGTGGCAGAAGTGTTGGGCTGGGCAGAGTGCCACCTCTTGCACTTCCATCACCTAAGGCAGGCACTTCATCCCACCTCATGGATGTGCCAGCTCTGCTGTATCATCTTCAATCTCCTTCTGCAATTCCTTTTCATATAATTTTTTCCCATTTGTTTATATAAGTAGTTTACGAGATCATTCCTCTGTAGACTGAGTTCACCACATTCATATCAACTTACTGGCCTAGTAACTTGTTACCTTTGTAAGTCCTTTTTCTGCACAAGACTTTGAATTGCAAGTATAACAATCAAGTTAGTGGGATTTCTGTTGAAGATTGTTGTAGCCTTTCTGCTTTATGCTGATGTTTGTTATTTGAATGTTCAGAAAACCAAGGAATAAAAATATGTGTTGGTTCTTCTGTATTTTTTTTAAAGACGGTTGTAATCTGTGCAAACATAGCAAGTTAGGATAATGGTTTAGGTTTATAAAGTTTTTTAAATCTTCCTTAGCCTAGGATGAGGATTGGTTGCAAAAAAATTTCTGCTGAACATCTGAATGCAATAAGAAACAATTTAGTAGTGATGTCCCTGAAGAAAGATGCATACATCATGTGTCCCATAGCTTAAATATACTACTGGCTGTAACCAAGTTTTTTATTAAGAATCACTCTTCTACTTTGCTTTGTAGATCCTGCAGTAGCTTCCAGAGAATAAGAAATGGCTGCTTGTTGCTCAGCTTGAAGCCCAGCTTGACATCAAAAAAGCCCTTCCCCATTTTACCATTTGTGCCAATTGTAAAGCAATATAATAGTAGAAGAGATTTGGTACTGCTGCTCCCCCACTTTTTGGTTTTCCTTATAATGTTTGAATTTCTTACATAGTGCCTTTTCCCATGCCAGATAAAGCCTAAAAAATAATTCTGCCGTATTCTCAATTGTTCTTCCATGATGTAAGCTTGGAGTGTTTGAAACAAGCACAGAAAATGTGGTTTGGTGATCATTTGGGCTGGGTGCTCTACCTCTCCTTCAAATCTGAACCAGTGAAGGCAGTGAATGTCCTGTGTGAGTCTCTGGAGGTGATTGGAGGATGGATGGTGCCTAATGGATTGAGGTTGAATCCTGACAAGACAGAAGTACTGTTTTGGGGGGACAGGGGGCGAGCGGGTGTGGAGGACTCCTTGGTCCTGAACTTGGTAACTGCGCCCCTGAAGGACCAGGTGTGCAGCCTGGGAGTCATTTTGGACTCACAGCTGGGCAGCTGTCTACCAGCTCCATCTGGTATACAGGTTGAGACCCTACCTGCCCGCAGACTGTCTCACCAGAGTGGTGCAGGCTCTGGTTATCTCCCACTTGGACTGCTATGTAGGGCTACCTTTGAAGGTGACTAATCCAGAATGCGGCAGCTAGACCGGTGACTGGGAGTGGCCGCCAAGACCACATGACAGTCTAGGGTTACCACATGTCCGGATTTTTCCGGACATATTCAAGAATGTGGCAAAGATGGTTTGATACAACTATGAAAACTGAGTAGAAATATTTAATCCTAAGTATTTCAGTGAGGAGGTAACCCATTTAAAGGGAAATAATTTCTGCAGGTATTCCACATTTTTGAAAATTTGATTAGACAAAACGACAATGTGGAAGGAATCACCATTGGACAAGAGCCGTGTAAGACAGGATTAATTGCCGATGACCTCCTCTTTGTGGCAGATCCACCTGTTTTAATACCATGATGCTGCAGGAGTTTGAACCCTCTGGTTTAGCTGCAGGATTTAAAATAAACTTTGCCAGACCAAACTATATTTAAAGGCTTCACAGAAAACTGCAGACTTGTAATTCCTCAGCACATTAATTGAATCTAGTACCTCTGAGCAGGTAATTTCCTTTTCAATGAATTGTGCATGTTCCCCCAATAAGACCTTGCATATATATACATACAAGTTCACAAGTGCACATACTTTATCAGGTGCTGGGCTTTCTGATGTCTATAATTCCAAATATAAACTGGCGGTCACAGGCATCCCAGTTTCTGTGATATATGTGTTTCTTGCATTCTCATGTGCAGATACCAGTTTTCTGAGCAAATTTGCTGGCCAAGAGCTTACTTGCCTTCCACCCACCTTGTTCAGTTTCAAAAGCAGAAGATCCTTCTTTACCTTGTTTGTCTTAAAGGGCTCTAGCCTACTCCATTCTCTCAATTTCTTGAAAACCTTTTTGCCACTGTGAGCCTTATGACTGAGCTCTTGTGTATTAACTGATTGCAATAATTTATTTCTTCTCCCGTTTTTTCTGATGCTTGGCATATGGTAGCTGTACATATACTCCTCAGTACTAAAGCATATACAGCTTCGAGCGTTATCACCATGCTTCCATATTTCCACACCCACACATGAGCCGAGTAGTGCTTTCAAGTATTAGCTGATTACTTCCAATGCTCAGCATTGGAACTTGTGCAATTGGAAGCACAGATAGCAGTGGTTTAGTATATGCATGCCCTCTCAACTACTTCTACACAAAAGGGGACTGGATGGCAGCTGGGAGGTAAGTAGAGCCCAAGAAAGCCTCATGACAATCCATTGGCAGAAGTATCAGTGCATCAAAAATATCCTAACAAATACACACCATGGACTTAGGTCTTGGAGTCTGTCATCTTTATTAATGATTCTTTTCTGCATTGTGTCAGAAAATAATAGCCTAATATGAAATAGAATTTCCTTAACAGGTTTCTTCTTTTTTAATAGGCAGATAAATACATGTCTTCTTGGGTCAGACCAAAGGTACGTCTAATATAGCATACTATCATCTGTAACGGGGCCATGAGTGGGGGCATGATGAAGATATTCATCTCCTGTTTGTCCCCCAAATCTGGCAATCAGTGAAATAATGTTTCTAAAAAGAGAAGCTCCATTTAAGCTATCATTGCTAATAACCATTGGCAGATTATCCTTCATTAATATGTCTGCTCCTCTTTAAAATCCATCTAGGGCTAATGGCTATCAACACTTTTGTGATACTGAATTCCAAAAGTCAATTGCACATTGTGTGCAGAAGTGCTTCTGTTTAGCTGTCCTCAACTTACTGCCAATCAATTTCATTGAATTATATCAATTTCTGGTATTTTGAGATAATAATTAGTAACTCTCTTGACACTGCTCATTATTTTATATCATGCCTCCTTTTAGGCTTTTATTTTTCTAGGCTAAATTTATTAGATGATTACCATTATCGACACTGGCAGTCCTAAAAAGATGAAACATCATGACTGCCAAAGTAATGAAATTTTGGACTATCAATGTGTTTATGTAGATTTATGACACACGTTGTACTTGTTTTTTATGTTTCTCTTGGTAACCTGCAAAATTTTAAAGCTGATATTTTATTACTGAAGTTGGTTTTACACCTTGGGAGAAATTGATCCCATCCAGTTTTCCAAAACTGGAATCAATGCCATAGAGGGTACAAATTTGAGTTCCTCAAATTTCATTATAGACTCTTAGTTCATGATTCAGAACTCATGATTTTAAGACCTGAGGAGTCACTGAAGAGACAAGACATAGAAAAAAGGAACAACCTAGATTGTTTCCTAAAATGAACCTCAGATACCCACACATACAGTATTGAAACATACAGCTAGAAATTTGGCATATTGGTATTTATTTCTCCATAGCAATGGATCTCAAGAGAATTGATAGTATAAAAGCAGTAGCAGATGAATTGTGGAAAGGTAAGAATACTGCAATTTCCTTTACAAACAATGTAGAATGATTCTGTTGAATTCCCAAAGAGTAGCACTATTGATCCAGAAAAGAATTGGGCTTTTTTTTCTTTATCTAGGCTGAAGGTGCAAAGCCCACCCTGTTGTTGGCCATATCAAAGACAGAATAATACTCCTTAAGGAAGACATCACCCAAGATCCACAGTGGCTCCCCAGTTGGAGAAGGCAAGTATGTAGCCTCAATCTCAATTGTACAATATCCATTATTCTGTGGAACAAAAGAAAACAAGTTAAACTTGTGCTGGGGAAATAAATACAGGTAAAACAGAATTTCAAGGAAGCCTGGAATAAGGACTTGTTCACAAAGACACACTAGAGATCCACATTTGATATGCTCCAGTATGTCTCTGACCATCTACATGTCCTGATTCAGGGCTGGCCACAATGCAGACAGGGCCAATAGTGAGGCCAGCCCAGTGAGCATCATCTCCACTCTGGGAGAAGTGACAAAATGGAGGGATTCTTTTTCACTATTTTATAGGGGCTAGTACTGCTCATACTCTTGCTTTTGGCAATTACAGTGCGAGCAAACATATCTTTAGGAACAATCTGCAACTATAAATCTAGAAAAGAATTCTAACATCAATGATAGATCCATGTCAGGTCCATTATCTCAAAAAATAAAATTAAAATGACCCCACAAAAAGGGTTAGGAGAAAAAAATATAAGGCACCATTACAACAGTTTTCCTGAGTAAATAAAATGCCACCCCTTAGTATAAAAAAACCAGACTCGTAATCTGTTTTTAAAACAGAAATCAGGTAATTATAAGGTTTAATGATAGAATACGATAATGATGGAATAACAGCAGCAACAACAACAACAATTTTATTATTTATAATTGCCTCTTTCAGCAGGTCTGGGAAGGCTCCCTCACAGAGGGAAGCATTCACCACCCCACAGAGCCCATCGCCCAGCCCTTCCTGGCTCACTTTTATAAGCCTTGTTGGGCAAGGATCAAGGAGACAGGTATTATAACCATAGCATGGTTCAAAACACATACTGTTCTGGGGAATTATGTTTAGCAATATGGTATATACGTACATTGGTGACATAGGCAGATGGAGGCAGTGGAAACTGGGATCCGTTGATGATAAAGGTGATGGTGGGCATGTTCTGGACATAGTTGCAGTTCACCACAAACTGAAAAAGAACAAATAAAGAGGGAAGGTTAACTATTTGAGTAGGCTAGAACAGAGGTTGGTTGAGTCATGTCCCCTGTAGAAAACAGGCTAAAACAAGCAAAATGTTTTCCTTTCTTTTTGGTGCATATAGCAAAGTTATATGAGCACATTGTGTTTCCTGCAAGCAGCTCACTGTCTCCTGAGGTGTGGCTTTCTGAAATTACCTCATCCACTCACCTCACCATTGTATTCTTGACCACCTACAGCTTGCAAGAAATTCCCCATGTACTGCTGAGGGACAGCAAGTAGATATGTTCCAGTGTCCACGATTGCCTGGCAGCCTTGGCTGCACCAGCCAGTAGCCTGGCTGCCAATAGCAAACCTGCAGAGGAAAGAAGTGATATTAAGGTCCCAAATGGGTTCTCAGAGACTCACCTGTGCATTGTACATTGAGACAAAACGCGCCACCTCCTTCCACATATATTATACAGAAAATTCACTGGTTGAGATTCAGTTCTCCCCACCTACACTTCCTCCCGTTCACAGAGTTTCCCCATAGGATTCATCTTGTCATATATTAATTGGAGTAGATTATGCACTGATCCATCCAATCCATTTTCATGCTAAGATATTAACCTTATTGCTTCTCTTGAGGCTGGCACAAAAGAGTGATCTTTGGCTACAACAGCCTTTCTGGATTTTGCATGCATTCATGTATGTGCGCACAATAAAGATGCAGACATCCTCAAAGCAACATTTTAGTTCTAGAAAATCTACGGTATATTTTCTCAGTATTCATACTGCAAATTATTGTTCCTTGTTTGGATTTTTATTTTTAGCTAAATGCTATACCCAGCTGGAATATCCATTGATGCAATCGTTTCATTCCAGTCCCAAGCCCACAAGACACATATTCTAAAGCAGTAAGCAGGAGGAATAAAAGTACCCCACTCTGCAGAAAGGCGGCCACTCCATAGAGCAGGCAAAGCCTTTTTTGTCATCCGGAAAAGGAACATGCTTAAAGCAGGAAAGCACAGCTAGGTATAGATAAAATGGAAATTATGTGTGCCACTTACTCCTGAATACCAATCTGCCAGTAATATTCACGGGTGACAGGCGTCCAAGTGATTTGCCCAGAGTACAACCGATTGTCTACACCTCCCAAAACCATTTCCCCTCCATACTGAGCAGTTGGTTGGCTGAGGAAAACAAAAATGGTTTAAAACAGACAAGGATTAGTTCTACTACCTATAAATTTGATGGTGCTCTATAAGTCCACAGGTAAATAAGCCTAGAGAAGATTAGAGAAAGCATAAATGCAGAGCAATAAACAGTTGGCAGGTCAAAGGGGGAAAGAACAAATCAGGAACACTTTGCCCCACATTAACAAGGATCAGGATCTCACTCCACTGGTGAAAATCCATCCTTTCATCACTCCAGTGATGGTATTAAAAGGGAAGGTTGATTAAGAAGGGTCAAAGAGCTAACAGAAAGCTTAATTTGCATCAATTGTTCATACGCTCATTCTCAACTGTGTTTTGTTACTGTAAGGATGGAACCATGGAGGAGTATTTTATTTATCCTAGATTAATTCCTCTTGCACATGCCCCTGATAAAAAATATCAGGTTTTGGATCTTACCGGGAGAAATAGAAGCTGAAGATGGGTTCAGAAAGCTGCCCTTGTCTTAGCATCTGCTGCATAATGGTGGGACCTGCTACAGCTAAGCCAGGATAGCCCATGCCTAAAATCCCATCAAAACTGGCATAGTAGAAAGGACTGGAAGGCTCATTTTGACTCAAGCCAAACTCCTGGTTTTGAACAACAATGTTCTGGACCTGGGGAGAAGGAATCAATGGGGTTCACTTACAACGTGAATCGTGGTAACTGGCAGGCAATACTCATCAGTTTAGGAATAATGCTACACAGAGAGACAATGAGACCCAGTGGAGTGGATTCTTCAAAATGTGGTCTGGTGTCAATCTCAGCAAAACTGGATCTCAGTGAGTACCACCAGTCACTGCCGTGGGTTAGGAACTTAGTTTTTTGCACTTGTTAAATTCAGATTTCGATGCTGAGTTCAGAACAGGATACTTTCTTAAACTGCAAAGGATTCCTGGCATTGTTAACTGGATTCCCAGAATTATTAGCTTTACCTTAGTTTGAATATTCCCAGAATGTGGCACACTTAAGAATGAATGACTCACAGTGCAAAGTTCACTTACCTGCACTGTATCATAGCCTAGCATGACAGTTAAGCTACCACTCCCATAGGATAGGGTATAGGTCTGTCCATTGTTGGAGTAAGTGGAAGATGCACTGGGGTTGAACCTATGGTGGTTCCCTAGAATAAAAAAGAAACAGAGTACAAATCTATCTCTATGAGGCAGTGAAAGCTGCCCATTAGCATGCAGTGTTCATTCTCCTCAAGATTCAGTTTACAGCAGGTCTGACTTTGCTACAGACCCAGACTATCACCCATGAACTTTATATGCACACATAGTGAAGACGCTAAAAAGGAGGCAACAGGAAAGGGGCACTTTTCACAAAAATATACAAACATTGTTACTGCATTTACCTCAGAAGGTCCCCATTGTTGGTCAAAAGAAGGGCCTGCACCATTTTAACGTGGTTTGAGGACAGCTTCATAATGTATCTTCATCATTAGAACATTTGTACATAAAAATGTATGATATGAGTGAAAATAATATACTAAAATGCATTAGAGCTGCTGGGTCATGGTAATGGCCCATCTAAGTTAGCATTCTGTTGCCATGATGGTCAATCAGATGCCTCTTGGAAGCCAGTAAGCAGGATGTGAGTGCAAACAGTTTTCTCTTCTCACCTGTGATTCCCAGCAGCCAGTATTCTGAGTCATGCTGACTCTGACAGAGAAGGTAGAAAATAACTGTTGTGGCTAGCATATATTAGGGGAAATTGCTTGCAGAAAATGTGTATATTAGACAAAATGGCATACAAAATTGTGTATATTGGGAGAAATGCGCACTAAAATATACGTGCATTTCTGTGAGGACTTTTTAAAAGAAGATTTGCAAACCGATGCAGTAATATGACAAACTGAACATAAGACTGGGAAAAATGAAAAGCTGAAACTGACAGATTTGTCCATCTTGATTAATGCAGCATGCTATTGCTTTCATAAGATCTGCTTGCATTGACTATTCCTACGGCACTTCTTAGCTGGGTAGCACCATGGTATCTGGCCATCACAACACCATTTGCTGTTTCTAAGCCATACCGTGCACACACAATGCTTCAAATGAGCTCTAGTATTATATCTCATGATATGTTGAGAAAAAATAAAGAATTTGAACTCAAAGAAAGACGGGTTCGTGCCCAGAAGCAGGGGAGGGAGGAGAATCTTAGGGTTGTCAGTCAATATATTATAATGATATTCCAAGTTTGGAAGCTGCAAATAAGGTTTGCAGTAAAATTATTTCTAAACAAAATGAAGTGCTTTCTTGAAGACAAACAGCCACTTTCAGCAACTGTGCAGAGTACTCACCACAGGCTGCAGTATTACAATACACAGAAGGTACCCAGAGATTGGAAGAACCTGTGTCCATGAGAACCAGGAAGTTCTGGGGTGGAGTTCCAATACTGATCTCTCCAAAGTAGAAAGACTGCCGAGGGAGAAAACTTGAATAAGGTGGAATAAAGGCAATTCACCACACCTTTTAATGCTTTTATCATTTCAACACCTTGCTAGTACTTTGCTACCAATAATCTCAAAGGGGCTATTTAGATCATGAAGACTTCAATTTAGCAATGCATCCCACAGAGAAGGTAAACTACACTACTCTCCAAAAGCATACAGCAAAGCCAACAGGAGAGTTATGCAAGATGCTAGAATCATAATCCCTAATCCTCTTCTCTAACTACCAACATCCAGAGAAGAGATATATGCATCTTTGCTTGCCATGTTCATCCCAACAAAGGCAGTTGCATTTTCGTGTTTTGTATCTTCAGTAGAGGAAAGTGCTGTAGTGAAAACATCCACCTTCAAGTCCTTTCAGGATCAGTTACCCAGACTCATAATCCTTAGTGTGTCTCATGGAATGCTCAGCAGACAAGTCAGCAAGCAAAGAAGATACCATGAAGCCATAACCCCCAAAATTAAAAGTAGAAGCTGAAATCATTTACTGGACAAACATCTGTGTCTTGCTGTCATAAAACAGAGAGCCCCAATTCACACCTCTGAGCACAATACGGTTGAGTTTTCAGTTCATTCTTATTGTAAGGGGAATGGGTTGTTTGATGGCATTATCAACTGCTGAGCGCAATGTGCAAGTTCATGTATTCTCTCTACCACTCTGAGAGGGAGGAGGGGAAAGGTACAGATTCATATTGATGCAATACTCACATTCAAGTTGTTGGTTATTGGTTCGTAAGCAATGTTGTATTCATTCCAGTGGTATTTCAATGCAGGATCAGCATGGTGTTTCTTCAGAAATTCCTCCAGCACTCCTTTCTCCTTCATGTTCTCCCGAATGGATTTCCCTTTCTTCAGAATGACTCTGCAGAAGACACAAAGATCTCAAGAGACTAGAAGCAACATGGGTGGCCTTTCTGTACTTCTGCTATGCACTCTTTCTTCACCTGCTTTCCTATTCTTTGTTATTGGGAGCTACTAATAGCCCATTGTGCTACTTTATTATTCATCCATTCGTTCAATAAAAGCAAGTGAGTGTGAGAGAGACAAACTCTCAAAGCCTGATAAGAGAAGGTTTAATTTTGCTATGGAACATTATAAGAACATTGGCTGAAAATGTATGACTTGATTTAATTTCCAGTCATATATTCAGCTCATTTGTTGCTATTGTTGAGACACTCACCTCTCCATGCCCTCTGACAGGTGGAGAAAAGCCAGTACCAGGATCAGCCACTTCATGGTGCTCAGTGTCTTGACCAATGCAATCTTCTAGAGAATCCACAAATCCTTTCCACAATTACAGCTGCTTTGTCCCTACTTTTATACTCAGAGCATCTGTCCTCTACTGGCTTATCTGTTTACTCTAGATTTCCAATATCATTATGTACACTCAATATCTACACTTTCTGTTTTCTTATGAATGATAGGGAATCAAATTCTTTTGTTTAAAAGGTTTTAAAAAGCAATTTGTGCTTTTGATTGTAAAAAGATTTAGTTATAAGAACTGGATCTGGAGCAAAGCTGTGCTATTGGGACAAATAAAAAAATGGTGATAAGATATCTACAAGATATCTACTGAAATATAATCAGTTTCCTTGAAAAGTTGGTCATATTCTTTTCAGAAATTATAAAGGCCAAGTTAATAATCACAGTTATTCTGACAAGTGCTTACATAATGCTGGATAGGCTCAATATTGATTTAATTGATGCCAACCAATATCAAGAGTAACTCCAGATTTCTCTTCACTAAGGTATTGGCCCATGCTTGACCATATAAAGTTATACTAACACTACTATCAATGAGGTTTTTGAATCAAAACTCTGATCACACAGTATTTAGCTCCCACTGGCTAGAAGTTGCATGAATATCATTTTTTTGTAAAGTTTTTTTATTATTTCATTTTATAATGCATATAAAATGGAGGTAACAATTACAACATTAAAGGTAAAGGTAAAGGTACCCCTGCCCGTACGGGCCAGTCTTGACAGACTCTAGGGTTGTGCGCCCATCTCACTCTATAGGCCGGGGGCCAGCGCTGTCCGCAGACACTTCCGGGTCACGTGGCCAGCGTGACATCGCTGCTCTGGCGAGCCAGAGCCGCACACGGAAACGCCGTTTACCTTCCCGCTAGTAAGCGGTCCCTATTTATCTACTTGCACCCGGGGGGTGCTTTCGAACTGCTAGGTTGGCAGGCGCTGGGACCGAACAACGGGAGCGCACCCCGCCGCGGGGATTCGAACCGCCGACCTTTCGATCGGCAAGCCCTAGGCGCTGAGGCTTTTACGCACAGCGCCACCCGCGTCCCCCAATTACAACATTATTTCCTCCATTATAGCTCTTATTCTAGAGCAAGTGGTACCATGTGTCCAGTGTAAGATTTTGGACTGTTTCCCACTGAGTTGCCATTACAGTTTGTGCTGCTAAGTTCATATATAAGATCCATTCTTTTGACAATATATGTACATTGGTATCGTCACAAATATTGATGCACATTTTGCCAAATGATCATAATGATCTTGCTTCATCCCATGTGCAGTTCGGTGTATAATGTATGTAGCTTTCCTTTTCTTTTTTTAAAGGATATGCTTGGCAGGAGTCACACAAAACTGATCAGGAGGACTTTAAACTGAATCCTGCACAGCAGAGCAATTTAATGCTAGAAAATGGTATAAAATCATGTACAGGTATCAGGTGTGTGAGTTAAGCCAGAGTGGGTAACCACTAATACATAAGGGGGGAGACAGTAAGGGAGTGTTTGGGGAGTGTAATCCATGGTTTTTGATGGCTCTGTACCAGGACTGGGGAGCATATTCCCCCTCAGCAGGCAAGATCTGTTTCTGCCTTAACCCTTGTATGTCATATTTTGCAGGTGGGTGGCATCACTCATCTGTTGTCACAAGGATTTCAGGTAATGAGCCTCTTTGAAGACGTGTTCACAACACACCTTCAGAGAGATTTGCTCCAGGATCAAGAAGGTGTTTGTCCCGAAACGTCTTTTAAGACAGGATTTGCACTGAAACCATTTTAGCAGCAGTTGCAATGCAAGCCCCTTTAGTGAGATATTTAAGGCACAATTGCAATCCACTCAATGGTGAGCAAGGAAACTGGAGACCGCTAAACAAAGCAGGGTGGCTGCATGGGGAACTTTCTGGCGAACACATTTAAAAGAAACATGAATGGGAATTGGAAGGATCTAAGGATGTGTCCTGCCTTCTTCTGGCTTAATGTTCTAGAGGAAGCCAGGTTGATAGGACTAAGGGCACATCTCAAAGAGCAGGGTGCTGGCAAGGCAGGTCTGGTAGTCCAGTCAATTCTGGTAGGCACTGCCAGATCCCAATCAGGGTAGCAGGCTGTAAGGCAGGGTCAAAAGGCAGCTTGTCAGCACCCTGGATAGCTCACAACAGCCTTTGCTTGCTAGGACTCACTCAGGAAGAGCTGTCTTTAAAGGACCATTGCCCTGATCTGTAATCACTGACTCCTACAGCATGGCTGTGCAGCGGTATGAATTGGAGAGGTGTTCCCCAAGCTGGATGACTCTCTTAAAGCCCCATCATCTGGCCTGAGTGGTCTGTAAGGAAGAGGTGATGGCACTCCAGGTATGTTTAGCCCTAAAAAGAGATGATTAAGAGGTATTGTGGCAGTCATCTTCAAATACTTTCTGTGTTCTTCCATAGAGGATGGAGCAAATACATTTGCTTTCTGTTGCCACCAAGGATAGAATCTGGACCAATGGGTTCATACTGCAAGAACAATTATTTACACTAAACATTAGGAAGAGCTTCCCAATGATGCAAACTGTTCAAAGGCTGGTGGACTCTTCTTCATTAGAGATTTGTAAGCAGAGGCTGGATGGTCACCTGTCAGGAATGCTGGAATAGTGATAATGCTTTATCACTTGTGTTTCTCAGTGACCTCAGTTGGACTACATAGCTGGAAAAAATCAAAGGGCATAAATGCTGCTTGTCCTTTAAAAAATACAGTGGTCTGCAATTTGCTTAACAGGTTTCTTTTATTGTTATTATTAACAGATGTATATGAACAGTCTTATTGGATCTGACCATAGATCCATGTAGGCCACCATTTTGCCATCTATCAGGTGCCCCTGATTAGCTCATAACTAGGATACAATGAAGAGAACCATCTATTGTTTGTCCCAAGTATCTGGTATTATGTCTCATAAAGACTCTCCTCCCTGGAAGAGAGGGGAGTGGTTGTGGGCGGGAGCCCGAGCTCCGACCCTGGCCGGGGGCCTTAGCCCCCGCCCCTCCTCACCTGGGTGGCGCCCACGCCCACCAGAGGCAGCCAACCAGGTGTCTCCGGGGGGCGTGTTTAACAGCTTAATGCTGCGGCTCCAGCTCCGCCTCCTCCTCAGTTGTCGTCGTCCTGCAGCGAGTCATGGTTATGTCTCATAACCATTTTAGCTATTGATAGACTATCTATAATTGGTTCAGTCATTCTAATTATATTTTTATTGTTAACATTTTTCACATATACATGTACATACACATATACATATACATAAACATATGTACACACAGACAAAAGAAACACAGGGTGATGGATTTCAGTCAACACAGCCTGTGAACATATCACATGACAAAATCTTTCAGTTCTGGACTTCAGTGAAGCTTCCAGATGGACAGCAGAACTGACCATAGAAAGCATTTCTGTTGTTACTGACAGCTTTCCTTGGATGGAAATGTAGGATAGGAAAATGAGCTCCTCCAATGTTTCAGTTTGTACTCTTCACAGGACATCTTTTCACTGATGCACAATAATACAAGTGTTTTGAAGAGTGGGAGGAATCAGGACTGGCCCTACCAATAAGCAGAATGAAGCAGTTGCCCCAGGCAGTTAATTTTGGGGTGCCATGAAAGGGCTGCAAGTGATTAGCTATTTAATTTATTATTACTGCATTTTTCCTCCCAAGAAGGGAGAAAGGTGCTTGTGGGCTTTTCTGCCTCAAGTACCTAAATTACTTGACCAGCTTTGGGGACTAGTCTGCACCTTAAGTCAGAGGGCACAATTTCCTGCTTCAGCTCAGGCAGCAAAATGCCTTGGACCAGCCCTGGACAGAATATGGTATGCACAGACTTAGAACATTTAGCCACATCTCTTGCAGTTCAACTGAAGGAAATAGCATGGGGAAATCAGGCAGATGTCTTATATCATTCAGAGAATGGAATGTCTGGAAAGAGGAAACACTGAAGATACTTTCATGGAAGGTGAGGAAACATTCAATCTAAATCTTTTATGGGTGGTATTCATCATCTTTAAAATGTCACCCACATATATAAACTAACTTTATTGGAGACATATTCAGTGATCTGGGTCAGATTATCATATGTGGTGAAACTGATATTTGAGATTGACTAATCGTTTTTAAAGCCATCTGAGGGCCAAGCTAAATGTTAATCCCATCATTTGTCCTTAAACCTAGTATTTTTCTTTCACAAATAGCTGACAATTCAGATCAGAGGCTTTTTTCTCTTCCCACTAATCTGGATTCCACTCCCCCTGAAGTTTTGAGTTTGCAGCTTGAGAGTGCTCCTGGACTTGCCACTGTCAGTAGAGGCATCGGTAGTGGCAGTTCTCTGCGGTGCATTCTATCATTTCGGTCTTGAACACCAGCTGCAGCCCAGTGTGGAGATACATGACCTGGCTTTGGTCACCATGTGTTAGTTCAGGTTGGGTTACTACTATGCCATTTACATGGGGCTGCTTCTGGAGACGGTTCGAAAATTTCAGCTGGTAAAAAAACCTCTCGGCCTCCAGCGTGCTAGCAGGAACCTGAAGGTGTGAATATGTGACATTGATTATGTGCCAATTACACTGGCTGCCAATATGTTTCTTGGCCCAATTCAAAGTGCCTAAATAGTTTTGAGTCTGGTTAGTTATGTCCCAACCCATAATATAAGATCTGCTGTTTGTGTGCTTGCCTGTGAAAACCAGATAGGTTGATGAGCACACAAGACAGGGCCTTTGGGGTGGAATAGTGGAACTCTCTTGCAGTTAACATTCCAGCTTGGCCCCTTCGTTCTGACATTCAATCAAGTATTTAAAATGTATCTTTTTGCTTAAGATTGCTTAGGTGATCTAATTCAGTTTCTCACAAGCACTCAGTGCTTGTAATAGCAAGGAAAGTGCACAGGGAGGGTCGTCCCCATTCAAATCTGGCTCCTTCCAGCCTGCCAGAGGGCTACTACTGTATGCTTCTTCCAGGGCAGAGTGCAGTTGT